TATAGCAGGAATAATGAAGAGCAGCTGATTTGAAAAAAAAACGCGAGAGACGGCTGAGTGACCGCAGTGCAGAACCGCTGTATTGTTTAAATCTCCTAACAATGTTGTCCATTTTAGAAAGAGGCTTATTATATTTACAGCCCTTAATAACATCAATTTTCTGGGCTCAATATGTGTCTTGGCCGTTTTCGTTGTGATCGCTAAATTCCCCTTGTTTATAATAATCACCGGTCCTTCAGCAGGATACTGCAGTGATTCAAAGTGTGATTTTAGCAAACGAGTGCTTTTGTTTTGAAATCACTTCCGTGAGTTTGGCCCCGCTCCCTCGCTCCAAGGACCATTAGACCATTTAGTAAGGTAAAAAGCAAAAAGCAAAAAGGCTTCTCAGACGGTCTTCCGTTTACGTGTTTAATAAAGAAAAACAATTGGACGGTAGATACACGGATTGAGCAGGAACAAATGGATTTACTTAGTAGATAATCTGACATTAACGATTAAACCATGGATTAAACACATTTGTTCATTCTTTATAAATGCAAACCGAGTCAAACCAACTCCGGAGGTCGCGGTATGCACCTTAAAGTTGTTTGCAATTTTCCAAAAAACCGAGAGAAAAAGAAGAAGAAGAAGCCGACTCCGAGCTGTACGACTTCAGGCGAGCTTTTTGAGACCTCCCCCGGCTGCGATCGGCTATTCTCGTCTACTTTCGAGGCAAGCTGCAGCTCGTCTCAAACAAGCCTATTGTCTCGAGTGTAAATAAAGGTTGAATTAATACTTAGGGGCCATTTCTTTAATCTTTGAAAGGCTCTGGCTCCCCCTAGTGGACGCTGTTATAGTCTATTTTCTGAACAAACACATTCCGTTTTCGCTTTTCAATCATCTGCATTCCTTGTTTCTTCTTCGCAAATTCACAAATGAAATGGAAGAGTGGCAGCATGTTATCCACTGCATGAAGTGTGTTTTATTTTCAAAGACCTGACGAGGGTTTTTGTTTGTAGAGTTGAGTTTATGTTTGTCTGAAATGTGTCCCAACCTCGGCCCCATTGCCCCTCCCTCGTCATTGATTGGCTGCCTGTAATTAGGGACATCAAGTCAGCTATTGGAAGCCAGGATAGGACCGGAAATGAGACAACTTAAAAAAGATGAAATCCTAAAATATTTCAGAAGCTTCTTGAATGTTGAACCTCTTGCAGTTTTTTTGTACATTTCATGTGAGGATGAAGAAGAGCTTTTGTTTGTATTTATTTGTTAACAAGTGATTGTATATTTGTTTCAAAGGCATCCTTGATAGTTGACCTCAAGGAGTTTATCCTTGCAACACATCTCACGACACTGGTGACTTACATGATGTCCCTGTATGGAACGTTTTTTGGAGAAGTCCGGATATGCACATACATGGTCTGAGAAGGATACACGATGTATATTGGCAGCTGAAATTGTCCAGAGCTCTGTCATCCACAATTGAATCTGTTAAATGTCATGTAGTGTAGGGGCTTTTAAATGTAAGAGTGTTTTTGGCCACTTCCTATATTTTTCTCACAAGGCTAAATACATGTAGGCCTACCTCGAAAATATGTTTATGTTTATTCATCTCTTTTAATAAACAAAACAACTTTGATCTAATAATCTAAAATCAATTATCTGTCAATCCATTTGTTTTATTGTATTCGAATTCTTCTGCCATGCACAATTCCTAAGGGTTGACTCATTTGACTTTATCTCAAATTACGAAGTGGATGTATAGGCCTACTACTTCACTATTAATAAATCAAATCAGAATACAACATATTCGAGGGGGCTTTTATTTTGGAAGTCAATTCCCGGATTCCTCTACCATTCTGCGTGACTTGACAGTAAAGTCAAAAGTTGTATCAAATCCCCCCACCATTTGACGATTTATTTTATAGCAGCAAGGGGTGGAGTAAACTAAGCTAGACAGCAGTGAACACTTTCCATTAAACACTTCAATAAAAAAGTCCGTCGGTAAAGGGAACCTTTCTGTACTGAGAGCCCGAGCTGTTCTGTTATGGACCCCAGCAAATGTGCCAGTGCACCTCCAGCGGGATGGTCTGGTGAGAAGTCCTCCATGGGCCATGCGCCCCCTCCGCCCTACCAGGACCAGCCGTACCCGGGGTACCCGCAGCCCGGCCCTGGATACCCTCCACATCCGCTGGTATGCAGCCCAACACCGGGCCAATGATGACACTGCCAATATTCCATGTTCATGTTAATTTCCTCGAAAGTGGTCCTTTCATTTCGAAAAGCAATTTGAGAACATTTTATTTATTCAATTATCGCCTTATCATATATTGTTGTACAAATATAAGAAATGTATATGTTTAAAACTTCAGTAGGCTAAATTAACTATAGTCTACTAAACTGTTATGTCAGTTTTTTTTGTATTACCTCAATGTTAATTTTTTTCTTGACTGATAAGTACCTACTTGCTGTAAATACATGAATCACGTTTTAAATTATGAAATTAATGAGGATACTGTTTGAATGAAACGGATGATCAGTATGCCCTTTTTATTATACAGTATATTGAGGTTACAAATATCAATGTGGAATCAAACAACATCCATAACCTAATCTGGCTGCTAGTTAGACATTATTTATCTAATATATCATATTCCAATAACTTGTATATAGACTCTTATTGCACTATTTGACTATTTCACTTTGTTACTATTTTTCTTTTTGTATTTAGCCTACTATTTACTTTAACTATTTTTTTTCTGTTTTATTGTGTTGCACTGTTGGAGGAGCCATGTGACCTAAGATTGTAATCGTCATAGCTAAACTGTAGCTATGTTCGTATGATCAATAAAAGCCTTAAACCTTGAACATGAAGTCTCTGTAATCAGCAGGAAATACTGGTAAACAGGATAAGACACCCTTAAATGTTTTCTATCTTGTCAAAGTTCTGTTATTTTTCATTGTAAAATCTGTAAGTATTTCATCATTGTATGGCTGTGGTCCAGTTCCAATAGTTTCATTTTATGTGAAGCCTCCACATCATCTGTAAATGACTAGCCCTCCCAAACTTGTTTTCATGCTGCTGAAAGTGAGTCTGAAGTGTATTTCCTGTGTGTGGCCTGCAGGGCTACGGCTTCCCTCCGCAGTATGGGGGTGCAGTTGGACAGCAGCCGTACCCCATGGGTCAGCAGGCCACCGTCACTGTCCAGCCCACAGTGTATGTGACACAGGGCCCGCTGGCTCACCCTGTCAATGACCACTTGTGCTACTCCATCTTCACCATGCTGTGCTGCTGCCTGCCCCTGGGAATCGTTGCCCTCATGTACTCCATCTCAGTGAGTTTGATCAACTTTTCTATTCTCATGGAAGGGAGCAAAATGTCCTCCAACTAAAATCCTAATAATCAATTGCTTTGACAAAAAAATGCTGTATGTGTGGCTATCCCAGGATTGGACATCATTTCACCAGGCAGTGACGTAGCTCTGCTCTCATCTATGATAACAATCATGATACATTTGGGGGTTTGGCTTTTGAATTAAGGAAAGCCTGAAGCGAATGGCCGTCAGTTTTGCCAACTTGGCTACTTTCTTGCAAGATTTATCAACTTTTAAAGCTTCTATCATTGGAGAAGAGGTAGTAACACTGGGACGGGCTTTTTGTTATGGTTTCTAAATCTTCCCCCATTCTTGCTAGCTTCTAGCTTAAGTCATTTGTGAGAGTCGGGTCCGCTTTACAGTGCTGACTTGAGCTTTTGAGGCACTTATGATACTGCAGCACTAACTGTTGGTTTTTTGGTAATGATAGTGGCTTGATGAGATTGTTTTGAAAAGAGAAGCAACCTCTACTCATCCAAATAATAGTTTAATGTTGTGCTTTCTACCTTATCTGCCCCAGACCATGAAATGTGGAAAACAAATTCAAAATCTTGTGTTAACATTTATCTATTAAATATCATTATGTAAATTACTAATTTTGTCTAAAGAAATCACTGGTCAGCTCAATATCCAACACCTGAAAATAGTTGATCGAGGACACCACAAACTCATTTATATGAGGATGGGTATGTTAGCAGACTAAATGCCAAGTTTGGGAAAGTGAATGAGAGTTACTGGAAAGGGTGGTGCTCTCTAAGGGACAGAGCAGAGGGAGGGAGCGAGTGAGAGAACAGGTCGGATGTTGCCGACTACAGAACAGAGAAGATATTTTTTTGGTCCTGAATTTTGTATTAGGTGAGAGAAGTTCCCTGGCCTGCGTTACATGTATATTTTGCACAATTGTATTTTTCACAACGTTCTTTGACATCCTCAGAGGTTTGTCTGGCAATCATCAAAGTATCAAGTTTCCTTGGTAATTGCAGTGTGTGGCAGTTGATTAACAGTTACAATTCACGAAGTGTGTTGTGCAACTTAAGTCCAGCTTAAATAAGGCAGCCTTCACTAAATTTGGAATGTAGTTTTAATACATGAGAACTTTAGTAAAAAGTTAAACACCACAACACTTTGAGATTGATTCCCCAGTTTTAGGTCATTCTGTTTTTGTGTCGTCTGATGTATAATCTAAGAGCTTGCTTTTGAGTGTGTCACATTGAAGTGGTTTGACATATGGAAAGCACACATGTCTTTTGGAAGAAAAGTTGTTGGATAGTTTCCATGTGGTCTGTGTTTAATCTTCCTCCAGAGAAGAAAAAAATACTCTTGTCTGACCTTCTCTGTATTTTTTTAAACAAATTAAAAGCCACATATCTAACAAGTAGGCTATTTGGCCCTGAAACATTGAAGCGCATTCACGTAGTTGACTTTTTGGCCTTTCTTATGTGTTGTGAAATGTCTTTTTTAAATGCAATAAAATTCTCATGATGTTTTGCCAGTTTTCACACTTGATGATGGAATTTTAGATTTAACAAGAGCTTAAGTATGCAAATACTGGTTATCACACAGAGCAAAGAACACATTTTTATCAATAATTTAATGTCATATTTTTGTCAAAGTATGTTTATATTTTTCTTCTTGGTATTGACGTTGGTAATGGACGTCTCTTCTTTCATGCATTACATGAAAACAACTTTAATTACCTCAACGTTGCTGAAGCCTTTTAATCTTTAATCGCTTGGAAAATAAGTGGCAAGATCAAGCATGGTCCTGAAACGGTTAAAGAAACAGAACTCAAGTTTTGTTAATCATTCAGCCTAAGCTCACAAACCTCATGGAAACCCCCAGTATGACTTTGAATGTGTTCCTTGTAACTCTGCCTCCAGTCTCTCAACCTGCTCTCTAATCCTGCAGAGTTTATGCTTTTACGTTTAGCAGTGACAGAATATTACAAAAAATATTTTTTAAACATAGTCATGGCCGAAATCTAATGTAGCCTACTTTGTTTTCAAGACAAGAATTTTGTTATGGTTTATTTTTACAACTAACACTTTCTCGACCTAGGCAGACCCGTTTCTTCCTCTCATTACTTGTCATACTTCAGATCCTAAAATGTATGAAATGATAAATTGCTTGGCAAAGGGTCCACCAGAACAACAGGTAATGACAGCAGTTCCTTGTTCTTAACAATATCTCGTAGTCAGATATTGTAATTGGAGAGAACTTAAGGGAGAAACTAGTAAATAATAATAATGGTGAGGAAACTTTCCGTTGTACTGAAATGAAGATTCTTGGAATAAGACAGTCTTTTAGGGACTTTATTCTTGCAAGAAGGTAAATCTTTACGTAGTGTCAAGCAGTCTGCAACAAAGTCACAAGGTCTGCAGAGGGTCTTATATTCACATTTTCTCACCAAGAATAGAAGAGGGGCTGTGACAAACAAAAGATAAACATACTATATATAGGATTCTTTGAAACGATAGGTACAACTGTAACTACGGTTCTATGCATCCCGGATGTGCTTTAAGCACTGGATATGTCCATCGCGCGCATGCGCAGGTCGAGTACTAATACCAACAAAGTCACCTGTGACCCCATGTGACACCGGGCTATATCTGCCGGTGTTATCAGAGGATCTGTTTGCAGAATTTTCTCGCAAGAACACGAGGATTCTGAGTGACAGGATACTCTGGTGGTCATCCGGGATTCATAGAACCGTAGTTACAGTCGTAACGGCGGTGCTTTAGGCACTGGATGACTTATACCTACAATGTCATGAAGAATCCAAGTACTTACTCATTAACTGGAAGCAGCGGAGCTCGGCAATAGGACCACGCCCAAAGGATGGGGAGTGGCAACATTAATCCGATAAAACCTGACACCCACTTACTTTCTCTGATCATAATGAGCTCCCTACTAGGTAAACACGTATAGGCCATGCCATTAACCTTTTAAGCCCTGAGCCTGTTTTTCAGGTTTCAGGCTCGAAAATGCTATGCCCAAAACAAATTACTATAACTTAACTTCTAAAAGGGTTATATGAATAATTTATTTTATCAAAGCAAGGTTACATCTGTGAGTTGGATGTAGAAGTATCAGAATCAATATAAATGTTTCTGTGTCAGAGTAAATTCAGATGGAACATAGTAAAAGAAGGTACATTCTTACCTCCGCCTAAAAAAAACCCCATTACTTATAGTGAAAACTACCCTTGAATGATGGTATGGTAGACTAAAAGCATTAGGAATCCAAAGTATAACATATAATAAGTACTCTGTATCAAGATTGAGGGAACACAAGTGAAATGTAACCTTTTTAGAGAGGTTTAGCAAAAAGAAGTCCAGGCAGACTGACCTTTGGGCACATTTGGATACCATCAGTGCCATTTGACCTTTTTCAGGTACCATACTGTAAAAATAATTGTATTACCACTATAGGTAATCATTCCATCCAAATACAAGAGTCTTTATAAAAAAAATAATAATAAAAAAAAAAGTTTAAATTACATAGCTTTTTTTATGTAAATGGTGTGTGTGTGTGTGTGTGTGTCTGTGTGGACTTTGCCACAGTCCTTAGATGTTTATCACCCGACTAACACTTCTAGGAAGGTTTACTTACACAATAAAAATTAGGAAACATAGGATAAATTTGTCTCCAACAGGAGCAGATTTATTTAAAGAATAGCACACTAAAAAACTACACTAAAACCGAAATAACACCACAAGCATTTTTTTTGTAAACACTGGCAATTAGCATTAGCCCCGGACTGCAAAACGTTATACTTACCCTGCGTTCATGAATATAATGATGGATTATCAGGAACAATTCTAAAGTGACTAAGAGACATTGGATTAACCTTGAGCAGCGTTTTTATTCCCTTGAACACGACTTTTGATCA